GACCGGTTGCGGTGTTGCTGGCAGTATCCCACATAATGGAACTGTTGTGTGCGCGCGTCTCTCTCCTTTTCTGTAATTACTCTTTGAAGAGGGGGCCGGGTAGGGAAGATTGGGTCGAGTGTCATTTTGTACTCTGCATGCTACGTAAAAAAATAAAAAAATCAGGGGAGGGGGAGCTTAACACTTTTTTTTTTTCGCCAGTTTGACTGATACTCTTAGACGCAGTTGCCATTGACACTCTTCATTTTCCCCTTCGTTTCCACGCGTTCCGACCGCTACCACGTGGCCGAGACACATTGGTGCTCCGTAAACTGAATAAAGCGCACATCTCGCGATACGTGCTACGTTGCACGGGCTGGCACCGAGAGTCTCACTTCGTGGGAACGCTGTGAAGGAAATCCCTCGCCACGAGTAAGAAGAAGAAAAAGTGTCCTGTTTCGTGGGAAAAAAAGTGTAAGCGCACACTCTTGAGCTCCGATCGAACTCATCAAGTTGTCGACCTTGTGCAAAGCGCGACTCCCTGCTGCCAAATGGGCACCGGCTTTCGCGCCGGCTTAAAAAAAAATTGAGTAAGAGAGAATGCGAGGCAAATTAAACGTGTCCATCGGTGAGTCGCCGATATCGCGTCAATCGCCGTCCTTTTTTCCCACATTACACCGCGAGTACTCGGTGCTCGTTCGGCTTCGAAGAATATCGCAAAGGCATGTGCTAATACATTACGCGGCCTAGGATGGTTGAATGTCACGTAATTTGTTTCGTTTCCAAATTGGAATTGACTGTTTCTATAAATTTCGCCAGATGGGCTTTCCTACAGGGACGCTCTCCAACCGAACACTCGCGTTCAGAGATTTTTGTTTTCACTCTAAGTGTATTCGCCCCTCCACGTTCCATCGAAAGTGGCCGAAGATTACGAATTGTTTTAATTACTGCTCGAATATCCGCCTCATGATAAGCTCTCCCGGTCTACCAGGAGAAAGGGAGGAGGAAGAACGTGGGCTTGCGAATGTTGGTCATCCATCATAACACACATATGGGCCAGAGGTATCGCTGTGACCGAGTTGTACCTTTGTGTTTCTTTTGTGCGAAGAAAATGCGGGGATGAGCGTTTGAAGGATCTTTCTGGTAGACTATTGTCGATGTTGTTGATTTGATTGATTTTCAGGGTTTAACGTCCCAAAACCACGCTATGATTATGAGAGACGCCGTAGTGGAGGGCTCCGGAAATTTCGACCACCTGGGGTTCTTTAACGTGCACCCAAATCTGAGCACGCGGGCCTACAACATTTTCGCCTTCATCGGAAATGCAGCCGCCGCAGCCGGGATTCGATCCCGCGACCTGCGGGTCAGTAGCCGAGTACCTTAGCTACTAGACCACCGTGGCGGGGCTATTGTCGATGTTATTCGGTTAGAAAATATACCGTCTCGCGCATACCTAGTACCGTTTTTTTTTTTCTGGCAAATTGTCTCTTGCACGCAGAAAGCCGAGGCAAAAATTCGGGAACAGTTCGCGATGCGAGAGATCTTCATTTTCAGCTCATTCTATGTCCGCTCCTGGACGAAGACCTCTCCCCACAATAACCAATTTACCCTACCTTGTCATGTGCGAGCTGTTTCCATTCTATGTCTGTTAAATTACCGTTTTCGTCACTCCATCTAACCCTCTTCCGGTTATGTTTTCCATCTCTTTCCATTCATTCAATCGCTCTCTAACTGAATATCGCTTATCTATCTTGAATTGAAATAAGTAAAGAAGGGGGGGAAAGTCCACCTCCGTGGAACAGTGGCTAGGGTGCTCGGCTGCTGCCTCGAAGGTCGTGGGTTCGATTCCGGCCGCGGCAGTCGCTTTTCGATGCAGGTGAAATGGTAGAGGCCCGAGTACTGTGTGATATCAGTGCACGTTAGATAACACGAGATGGTCGAAATTTCTGGAGCCCTGCGCTATGGCGTCTCTCATAATCCTATAGTGGTTTTGGTACGTTAAACCCCAGAGATTATTATTATTATTATTATTATTATTATTATTATTATTATTATTATTATTATTATTATTATTATTATTATTATTATTATTATTATAGAAGGTGGGAATAGTAAGTCAAATGAGACGTTTGGTAGTCGCCCACCGTGTCCAACAGGAAGGCCGACCAAAACACCACCCCGCACTTGTTTCCTTGTGCTGTTGTTAGAAATGTTAACCTCTTCAGAACGTTATCGTAGCCGTTTCAAACGTGGCGCATTTGATGTGCCTGTCGCGCTGATACTCGAAGAGTGCGCACAGCAGTAAAAAAAAAGTGAACGACAAAAAAAAAAAAAACATTGTTTCATAGACCGGGCGTAGAGACGGAACCGGTAGTAGTCGGGCCTGTGCTCGGTCTGAGGCAGAGCAGGCCCAGGAACCGGAATGGAGGGAAAGAGGACCGCGGCGACGGCCCACCGACGAGACTGCCCCGCCGGCGGGGGGGCTCTCCTCCTATGCACTGGCGACCGAAAAGCCGAACAATGGACCGACGCTCTGCCTTTGCCTCACCTGCGTGTATACAAGCGCGTGGCGCCAACGGTACGCTTCAGATGTGACACGTGGTGCGTCGATTTTAATTAGCGGTGTCAAGACCGCGTACCAATCGCTGAAAGATAAGCGCTCTTATTACTTTGTCCCTTTGTTGTCCCTAGAGCTATGTCAACAACTGCGTGCCCGAACTAAGTCGCGCTAAGGCAAGAATTTCATAGCTCCGCATACGTGTGTTTGCGGGCGAGAACACCGGCGTTCGCTGTGCAGACGTACGTGCTTATATCGTGGCATTTTATTCTTTATTTTTTTCCTTAAAAAATCAAACAAAAAGTTCGGGTCGAACTGCTATGCGCCGGCAGCATCGCCACTTTCTGTCAAGTCCATACGGAACCCCTCGGAGAAGGTTCATTTAAACTTCATTTAATGACGAAAAGAACAACATGGAAGCGAATCTAGCGGAAGCCTGCGGAAAAGCGAAACGCCCCGTTGGGTGTCGTGTGGGACGCAACAGCGCTCCCCCTCGGCGACGCCTGGCTTGGGGATGACGCGTTTTTGTGCCTCGCTCTCACCGGCACTGCTTCACTCTGGGGCCTGCTTTCTGTCAGCCGGACGTCTTCGCGTCTTGCCCTGTCGCACGCAGCTCCGTGAGTTCGTGCCCCCGCCTGGTGACTGGCACTTTGTTTCGAGCTCGCCGAGTTGCTGCTTCGTGGAAACAAGACTCAGGGACCGAGCCTTGACAGGGAGGCAACACGAAGGAGAGAAAAAAATAACAATAATAAGCGTCGTCCCCTCGTATGAGAGTGACTCGCACGCAGAAGTGAGGAGAACGAAAATATGCAATGACAAAACTTCTAAGGCACGGAGCAAGCTCGCGCGGCACGCAGCAGGCGATCGAAAGAAAAAAAAAAGGAGCTGAAGGCCGTACTCATAAAGTAGAGCGTTTTAGGGCCCTTGCGGAGTCGCAGTATATGGGCGTCTCTGTGTGTGCGCGGAGAGAGGTCATAACAGGCGAGGAGGTTCCTTTTGAAATATGGGCCTATAATTCCTGAAAGTAACAAAAAAAAAAGCGCGATCGCATATCTAATGTCTTAACGCGAACGACCGTCTTTCTTCTCAAAACTTTTGTCCCTCCATCCAGCTTTTGTTCTGGAAAATCACTTATCTATTCGGACCATGATCGAAAGCTGTCCAGGAGCCGCCACCGACGCTTATTCATACTCTCTTATTAAATATTCAGTACTGCCACGCTGCGGTGATCTAGTGGCTAAGGTACTCGGCTGCTGACCCGCAGGTCGCGGGATCTAATCCCGGCTGCATTTTCTATGGAGGCGAAAATGCTGTAGGCCAGTGTGCTCAGCTTTGGTTGCACGTTAAAGAACCCCAGGTGGTCGAAATTTCCGGATCCCTCCACTGCGGCGTCTCTGATAATCATATGGTGGTTTTGGGATGTTAAATCTCACAAATCAATCAATACTCGCAGGAGCACATGCTGACAGTTTTTACGCACAATCATAGTACAACGTCAATCATCCGCCTCGTGACATATACTGTGAACCGGGCAGCTGCGACTGTTTGTTATACCATTATTCGTCGGCATTGAAGAAGTCATCGTTTGCCTTTATTATAAGCGAACAATGAGAACCGAAAGCAACGGGCCGCGGACAAAACTAATCATACGCGTTCGCAGGGTTCACCTTAAAAGGGTCGAATGTTCATAGAAAGCCCCCCCCCCCCCTTCCTGTTCGAACCCGGGGCGCATGCCTGTGAAGGTAATGACGCCTGTCATCTGGAAAGTAACTTTCATGTAACGGCGCGGTACAAATTATTTGTGTAACGTTATTCGAGGACAAAAGCTTGTTGGTGTCTTTACGGCCGAGGCCCCAAGTCCAGAGCTCCAGTAGCCTTAGGCACCCTCCGGACTTGATCTAGCCGCGCGACTTGCACTCCTGGGTCTCCGAGCGGGCGAATTGTGCCTCCCACTGGTAGGGACCGAAATGCCTGAAGCAAATGCGCAAAACGAACGCGTGGTTTCCTTCTCTCGTTTTTCGTCTCGCATTCTCACCTCATACCCGGTTCAATGCCGAAAGGCCCTAGAATATTTCGTATCATTCCAGAGTGTTTGACCTTGACGCCGACTCATTACAACACCGCAACAAGGAAAAAAAAAAGAAAAACAAGCAACAAAAATTTCAACCTTACGAGATCTAAATAAACTACGTATCTGGTCTTAAGCACGGTTGTATTGCGTACAGCCGCAAATAATTAAGTTTATTCAAATTTACGCAACTTTCGGCCGGGGTTGACATTCGAGCATGCGGGAGGCAACTTTGCGCGTGACCGTCGGACACGTCTGTGGACTCTCGGGTGTCGATATTCGAGTGCGCATACTACGCTTCCCACAACTCTTTCTATTCACTGTATGTTACTAGTCTCCTGTTGTATGCAGGACAACTAACACCATTGTTGTTTTTTCGTGCCTCCTCTGTCGCAGCTTTCGTGTCCTGCTCGCCCAATCCGTGCAAGAATGGAGCCTCCTGCGTGTCGTCCAACCCAAGCGGCGAGTCGCATTGCAAGTGAGTACATGCAAAAGACGTTTCGTGTGCGCAAAAGGTGTTTCAGCATCGCAGGCATGAAGTGCGTAGCATGGCTTGCCCTGCTTGAGTATCAAATACGCATCAAATAACGATAGGGACCAGCGGGGTAGCAGAAGGCTCGATACTGGTTACGCTGCTGTCTGGTAACTGTGACGCGGAAATGCCAGTTAAAAACAAAAAAAGCCGCGACTTTCATATATGTTTTGACGTTTTCTAAAGATACCAGCAAGGGCGTAAAACAGTAGAAAAAAGAAAACAACTTTTGCGATGGCTAACTTTGCATATATGGATGACAGGACCAAGGTCGCGTCATGATCACTTACGCGGGCTACAATTCGGGTGCTTGATAGCGTCATTAAAGTTAAAAGGTCACGGGCTAAGTTCCAACTCATGCGTAGCAAAAACGAATACACCATTGTTCCTCCGAACGTAGTTAGTGAAACGAAGACATACACAAAAAAGGGAGGGGGAGCAGAATAGTCAACCGCATCGTTCGCTTTTGTCATGAGCTCGCCACCTAGTGTTGGCGAAAGCTGTAACGAAGTCTGAACGCCCTGAGGAAGAGCGTTGAGATTTGGTTGTTGCTTTGAGTTCTTTTAAAGAACCTTCGCATGTATGCTCTAGGATTTTAAGAGGCAGTGAACTTATGAATGCTTTCAGCGACTTGGTTTTTGTTGTGCGTTGATGTTTACAGCTTGTCGAAGGTACCACATGGCACGCTTCTCGCAGCATCCAGACGTGTGTTACTAACTTGCAGAGGGCGAGAAGTTTGGTAATGTATGGGAAAGCTGGGAGAAAAAAGAAGTCGTAGTAGAGTGAGAGCGTGTATGAGGACTTAACTAAACGAATGACAAACGAGAAAAATGAATGAGGCGAAGTTCGTACGTATCACTTGCTTGTTTGTATTTTATTTATTTTTCATGCTCTCAACTGTCTTGTGGTTTAGCTAACCTTACGTTTTACATGGCGTAGATACAGCCGGTGCCGCTACATTTCCCGAGTGAGCAACAGACTAGCAACTTCGGTTGAAGCAACTCCCGCTGAATGTCTCCCACGTATACCGCAACTCAAGAGTTTCGTCAATGTTAAGTTACGTCGCTTGCGAACCAAACGGAATGGTGCGATGTCAACGCAGATCCGTAAGTATGTGCATGTACTACACGCCACGTCCCGTGGAGAGGGCGTGGGCAGCAACCGAATCCTGACTACGGCGGCGGCGCCGCGCAGGTGAGGCTATAGGAAACAGCGGTTGCACCACTTCCCGCTTCATGGTTCCGCAACGGCACACTGAACTGCCGCGGTTGTCTCGACTTCCTGAACGCGACGCGTCCGCGACAGATGGGTGTCACCGGCGTCAAAGGGCCTGGCCGTTCTCAGGATTAGAAGTGCTACTTAAGCAGAAATCGGCGTTGTGGTCGATGTATGGGGCCAACAACATGTCTCACAGAATTGTAGAAACTCGGAAAAAATAATAATTTGTCTCAGTTTTGAGCAAGATGCATCAAACACGGCACAGAATGCTGCAAGAAGAAGAGGCTGATACAAAAAATTAAAAAGAAAGAACGAGATTGGATAAGCGTACAACGCATGGCGTAGGACGTCAAATTCACAAGTTGCTACGGAAATTCGGCGAGTGCGCGGTAGAAGAATGTTTTGCATAAGAAAAGCATTCCATTCTGAAACATTGTCTCCGCATGATAAGCAGTGTTGAGAAAGCGGGCAGATAGTAAAAATTTACGCTGCGGTGAGAGAGAATCTGTTTCAATCATCTTTAAAAAAAAAACAACCCATTATTACCAATACTTGCGAGTGATTTAACAAGACTTATTGCCCGTCCTTTTTTTTGCGAAAAGATACTTTCATCTATACGCTTTTTAATCGTACACAAATAACGATGAGCATCTGATAACTACGCTCCTTGTTTTTTTTTTTTTCGTATTGCGATGCAGATGTGCCCTTAAGGCCCGGTTGTCGTGTTTGCCATGTTTGTAACACACGTCAGTAATGAGAAGTCACTTGGAAAAGTAATTATGTTCCTGTGTTGTCTTCGGCTTGTAGAAGGGTAAGGGAACTCGGGAACATGGTGTTTCGGGTTCAACCGAGGCGTACGCACAGCTCCTAGCTGAGCGGGTGAAGTTACAGCATTGAGTGCAGATTTATTGATGTGGTCTTATTACCTTTGACTAATGGCACAACAGTTAGTTGGTTGATTTCGGCAGCATGGTGTCATACACAACACGGGTCGTGTCGTCTCGATAATCAGTGCAACTGCACCAGGCAGGTAGGTAGGTACTGAACATAATTGAGGTCCTAACAAACAATTCCCCAGTTTTCATTGAGGGAGTGCTTTACAGTATACCATCTAAAATCTGCTCGTGCATTCGCGGCTTTCCCGCCGAGCCCCGTGTGACGCAGTCCCTGGCCGGCAGTTTAAAATACGTGCTCCCTCTAGGACAAACTCTCGGCTGCACTGGCGAGATGGCGCCTTCCGAAGCCGCGTCGAATTATACAACAGAGCGCCGTCGACGAGACCGCGCTGGCACCTGGTATGATACAAGCGCCGCCGGCGCACGAGCCTCGCGGATACGAGCGAGCGGGGAGACATTTAATGGTTAAAGGACGCACTGGCTGGCGTTGGCGCATCGCGCTCGGTGAACATCTGTCACTCGCTCGAGGCGCAATGCCGTTAGCGGTCACGTGACAGGGCAGGTGTGTTGCGCGGCGGTGGCGGTTGGAGTCTGCCGGCTGCCGACCGAGGGAGATCCTCCTTTCACGGCCGCCGACCGTTGGCGGCGGGGAGCGACCCTTTATTGAATACCCTTATTTTCCCCTCGCAGTGCTGCTGCTCCCCAAATTTGGCTGGCAGGCGGGGAATGTCGGTTGCGCGGCGGCCGCCATTAGACGTCGCGCAACGCGCCATGCCGTTAACAACGATCGCCGTCGTGCCCTGGGCCGCAGCGCCTTTCGCAGATACCGTATTTGATCCGCGGGTCTCGACACTGTGCACCGGCGACCAATTGGGTAGCGCCGAGTAAGGGTCTGGACAATGAACATTTAAAAACCGGGACGCCCCAGCTTATACTGCATTAACCATATCGCTTCGACAAGCGTGGCTGACGGTCATCTACATCAGGCATTGTAATTTCCAGTAATGCTGCTTTGACTGCAGCGGTTGCTCCCACACGTGGAACTGCTGCTCCACGTTTCGTGCGTCTCGACGTGAAAGCTCCGTGGAACGCCTCGCACGTGGAAGAAGACACGGTAATTATTGCCTTCTGGTTAAACGAACGTACGCTAGCCCATGAGACGGTCCGTGTTCAACAATTGCGCTCTTTAAGTGCGCTGCCGCAGCTCGAACGACTTGCGTGAAGGGACGAGAAAGAAGGCCACGCTGTGTTCGATGGGCGACCGTGGTAAAATAGGACCGCGACTAGATTTATTTTTTTTCCCCTATCTGCTTGCGGTGGGGCGTCGCGAAAGACGTAAATAGCGCCTTGCAGCAGTCAAATTACTGTCGACATCTCCATGCATTAGGACGCACAACATTTTCCGAGTGCTTTCCCCCCCCCCCGCTTTTTCCCCTCGGCAAGGTTGCGCAGATATTTGCTGTTTACTCGAACGTTTAATGTACCCGAAATTGCTGCTTGCTGGAAAATCCCGCATCTCAAGCAAACGGACGGCCAGGGGCGACTGATTATGCCGCAATAACACATGAAGCGGGACAACGCTGTCCGGGGGTGTTTTTGCCACGGGAAGGATGGGCCACTCTGTGGTTCACGAAAAAAAAATTCACGAAAAGAAATTTATTAAACGTTACTAAACACAAAAAAGGAAGGGTCCATATTCAAGTAGCATGACATCAATAGCTATATCTTTTTACGCGCACAGCTCCTTAAACCCTCACCCCGCCGTCACCGCCATCGAAGCTCCATGCAACATAAATACAGCGTCGGCGCTTAGATTCGGCCGCTCTAGCACGTACGGCAGGATCCTGTCGGGCGTAGAAGTTGTAGCTCCGCGCTCATCGTGCCTTAACCGCGTCCCATTTTCAAGGAGCTGCGCTCATCAATTGTATTCGTGCACGGAACAACTGCTAGTTTTTTTTCTGTTTGTATACGCGAAACAGCGTTTTGTGTCGAAAATAAACGGAGGCGAAGTTGGAAGCTCACTTATTCTGTGCCAGCATGCAGGGTGCGCAAGTTATTTTACTATAAGACATAAGATGAGGCAACTAAGTTTAATTTAGCAAACGTTTATAGCGCTTCTTTAATCACTTTTTGTTCTTTCTCACACACGCGCCGAGTTTTCACGCTAGGGCTGTTAGTTCGGTCGCATCGAACAGTGCATATAGTTCCATATAGTACCATATAGTAGCACAGTGCCGTATAGTTCTCTGACGATGGAGTGCCGTTTTAGCTTCTCACTATCCGTCTTCAAGTAGATCTATCTATCTATCTATCTATCTATCTATCTATCTATCTATCTATCTATCTATCTATCTATCTATCTATCTATCTATCTATCTATCTATCTATCTATCTATCTATCTCACAACCGTGATAAACTAACTCTTGACGCGCTTCGCATAATATATTCAATCTCACATTTACGTTGCACCCCACCCGCTATGCGCTGACTGCTCTGGTTCGTTACGTTACGTTACGTCGCGTTACGATGTAGCGTAGTGCAAAAATTTGCGCCTGATCGTGGACAATGTTCGAAGACGTTGCGACTACGTTTTCCCCGACCAGAAATGAGGAGTCGCGTTGGCGGAAGCGCGACCGAGGCATGGGCTTGCGTCACTGATATTTCGCGAGCGATCAACCACTGTTAAGAAAACACGACGGGGCAGTCCACATTGACCCGCGCGTGACCCCCTGCGCGGCGCAGAACAGACGGCCTACCCACGCCACAAGAGAGCGTAACATTTGAGCTCAACGCGGCCGAAGCATCGCTTGCTACGTAGGTCCGACGGAACG